GCTGGGATATAAGGTGTGCATATGTATGGTGGGGTGGTTGTGTATGTGGACAGGGGCATATCTGGATTTAGGGGATGTGGGAGAAATAGCAGCATGTGTAAGCATGGAGATAGAGGAGGGTGTATATATAGTGGTATGGGGGGATTTGGGGGAGGTTTCAAGTACAGAGAGTGGGTTCGAACAGGGTGGGGGCACAGAGGGCCATATGTGGGGTACAGCTGTTTTGGGGGTGAATTTATGGGGTGAGGGGTGTATGGCTGGTCTGGCACTGTGTGCGTGTGTGTGTGCACTTGGGAAGAGCACAGGGATACATTCCCGGGGGGCCGGTGTGTGGTGACACCGCCGTGCCCCCCAGGAGCTGTCCCTGCGTGTGACGGTGGCTGAGAGCGGCGAAGATGGACGTGGTGACAACACAGGCCACGTGCTCATCGGCCCCACAGCCAGCGGGATGGGCACCACGCACTGGAACCAGATGCTGGCCACGCTGAGGAAGCCCGTGTCCATGTGGCACCCACTCCGCAGGAATTAGGGGGCTGCACCCCGACACCAGCTCTGCCAGGCACAGCAGGGCCCGGAGCTGCCAGGCAGGGGCCGAGCGGGACTCTGTGGCACCCCAAAGGCTGAGCTGCTGGCACCTCAGTGGGGCAGCTCCTGCCTAAACACCCAGAGGATGGATGGAGCAAATCTGTGGCTTCATCTTTGCCCTCCTGAGTCCCCCACACAGGGGGACTGCAGACAGACCCACTGGGAAGAAGCCCAGATGGACCAAAACCAGCCAGAACCTTCCCAAACGGCTGGGCTGAGCATCCCAGTGGCCTCAAAAGCGGTGGAATCCTCAAACACAGACCCTAAGGCTGCAGGGGAGAGGGGGGATTCCTTTGGAATGTGTTTTTTTTTGAGGGGGGTGGTAAATGCCAGCACAGTGTGGCTCCTCTCGGTGTGAGTGGTGATCCTGGGGGGGATTTTTAAGAGGGGTTTTGGTGTGTTGTGCTGGGGACAGAACATTTCCAATGAGAATGGAAAAAGGGAGCAATAACAGCAGAAAAAGCAATTGTTATTACATATGGCTTCTCCTTCCATCTGTTTTCCCCACAGTAAATCCCTGCCTGTCTCCACTGGCTGCGAGGACGGGGCTGGAAGAGGTTCCCAAGCCCTTGGGTTTGAGGGTGTTAGGCAGAGGGCTCCGCTGGAGCCCTTTGTGGCAGAGGATGCCCTGGGGCCACATCCCCCCCCTTGCCTGGAGCTTCGGCTTTTCCCTGCCTGCAGGATGCTGGTGGAAAGCCAGGCTGGGAAATCTGGGGGCCGTGTGCCAGGAAAGCTGCATGAGCACAGACTTGGGATGTGGCTGTTTGGATGATCCAAAAAAGTGGGAATGAGCCATTTATCTGTTTTCCCCTGATTAAAGGTGACTCCGAGGTGAGTTACCCCATGAGCTGGTGGTATTTTTCCCTTCTCATCTGTCCTGCCTGCCCTTTGCTTTGGGACAGGGCCATGATGTCCCTGTTCCATCATGTCCCTCCTTTCCCGTATGTGCCCAGATTTCCCTCTCCCGTGCTCCACCTCTTCCTCCTCCCCACCTCCCCCTCCAGGAGCCCCCCTGTCCCATCTGCTGCCAGGTGAGTTGGTGCCATTGCTCCGTGGCTGACGCACGGCCGGCCCCAGGCACCGAGGCACGAGCCAAGGATGGAGGGGCTGGAGGGATGAGGTTTTCCAAAGGATGAGGAAGGCTTTTTGGGAAGTTGTTCACAGGCCCCGAGGTCTGGGGGAAAATTTTCTTATTAGTTACCACAGCCAGCATTTGGGAAGAGACAGACACAGAAATCCTTGGCTGTCCTGCAGCTCCTGCCAAGTGCTGAGCCTTGCTCAGGGTGAGGTGAGTGACTTCCACACGTTCTGGAATCATCCGTGAGCAACATCGGCAATGTTCAGCCCCAAAATGATGGGGAACCGTGTGGTTTGGGGCTGTTTATTGTGCCCCTCTCTGGCCATTCCTCTTTCAAGGTACCTCAGCACCTTTTCCTTCGTCCTGGGGACAAAAAAATGCTACTGGAGCTATTTTTGGGGGGGATAGATGGACCCTGTGAGTGGGATTGGAGCCAGCGAGGAGAGGGGACAGGGTTGGGGCTGTGTGGGGATGGAGAGAGGCTTTGGAAATTGGGATCTACAGGCAGGAAGCAATGTGCGAGATGGATTAGTTTGGAGGGTACAGGATTGGGAAAAGGTCGGGGAGGGACACGAGGCTCCCTCCTGCCAGGCAGGGCTGCACTGCCTTCACTGCTGTGGGGTTCCCAGCGGATCCTGGTGTCCCAGGAGCTCCCCATGCCCAGTGCAAGCCCGGAGCAGGGCTGAGCCCCCTCCCAACCCCCTGGCCCGGGTGGGAGGGAAAGGGGCAGCCCTGAGGGGTTTGGGCTGTGCTGGCTGTGGTGCAGACGTGCCAGGTCACTCCAAGCAGTACCAGAGGACTGCTGGGCTGGGATCCATTTCCTTAGTCACCCTCCCCGGGGGCAGAGGGTCACCCGTGGTTTTCGGTGCCTCCCACGTTCCTGCTCCCAGACATCCATCTTTTGATGCCACAGGGACCAACGTGACAGTGACAGCTCATTGCTTTGGGTGTTTAATGCCTGTCGGACCGGTGAGCTCCAGCCTCTGTGAACATCTATCACCATGTCCATACGGATAACCAGGACAATGCAGCAGCTCTCCCTCCCCAAATCCCTCCCCAGCCCCTGGCTCCAGGCTGTGTCCCCCTCAAAATCGAGCCCCACGCTTCCTCCAGGACTCAGCAGCTGTGGCCTGTGATGGCTGAGCGGCACCTCCAAGGTTCGAAAGGCAGGATTCAGGGCCCTCATTTCTCCTTGTCTTTCTTTCTGCCCTTCCTCTGGTTCGTCAGCTCGCTCAGTTTCTTGTCCAGGCGCCGCTGGAGGTGGGCTCGCTTGGCTGGGTCCAGGGATTTGTCTTTGGAGCCGCTCCCGGGATACAGGACCCCTTCCCTGCTGATCCGCTGCCGCGCATGGGCCTTGGCCTTGTCCCCACAGCCGTGGACCTGCAGGGGGAGAACAGACACCCGTGGCAACTGGGAAGCAGGGCAGGGATCGGCCACCTGGGAACCAGGGGCATTCGTTCCCAGAGCCTGGAATTCCTCTACCACCTCTGCATCCCCCTAAAACCACCTCCTGTCATTAGTACCTATAATTTATATTGTTATTTATTTTTAATTATTATTATCTATGTTTATTGTTATCTATTTTTCATTATTACATTACACATTATTATGTCATTATATATTATATATACTACATATACCCATAGATTTGGGTTTATTTTAGTTTTTAGTTTAATCTTCATTTTATTAATATTTATATTTTTATTTATTTTTAAATTATATAGATTTATATATTATATATTATAATCATTATTTATTGCTCATTACAATTAACTTTTATTATTATTAATAATTATTGATTATTGTTATATATTTTATTAAACCATCATTTCTGCTTTAGAACAAAATATAAAGGGGATTCTTCTCCTCCTAGACTGCACAGCAGGTAAATCCTTTGGGATGATTCAAGTGGCTCCTTCTGCTTATATTATTATATATTAATTTTTATTATTGTTTACTATTCATTATCATTATTTATTCTTAATAATAAATTGATGCTTAATATTATTATTTATTCTTACTATGTTTTGTTAAACCATCATTTATAGCTGCTCTCACAGAGAACAAAACATAAAGGTGATTTTACTGCTACTGGACTCTGCCCAGGCAAGTAAATCACCCTTTGGGATGTTTCAAGTGGCTCCTTCCGCTTCCTTTCCAGTGAACTGGGAAAAGCAATTTGGGGAATAAGAGACCTTTTTAGCCATGGATCTGCTGCTCTCATGTAATTTGATCTGTCTCCTGCAGTGGAATTAAAAAAACCTTCATAAAGCTCGTTCTGTGCAGGCAAAGCTCTCCCAGCCCAGCCTGCGCCCGAGGGGTGTGGAGCCAAATCCAACACCAGAATCATCTCCCACAGGCAAGATCCTAAAATCTGACCCCTTGTCTTGGTCCACCCCAAAGTCATTTACGCTTCCACGAACTGGGGTCCCAGAGAGCCACGACAAACCTTCCTGTTCCCATCGGGGGGCTGGAGCAGGTTGTCCATGGCTGGGAACAGCCAAACCCAGGTGACCCTGCCAGGATCAGGATTTTGGAGCCACCACAGCTGACAGATCCCCTGCAGATCCTGTAAAAGGGGGCTGGAGCTTCCCTAGGGAGTGCCCCAGCAGCTGAGGGCACTTTGGGGGTCCTTCCAACAGGGACCCTCCGCACACAGGGGCTTCATCCCACTGGGATGGCTCCAGGTATGTGCCAGCCCCAGGGCCAGAAGCTCCAGGGGCTATTCCACATCCAAGCCTGATAACATCTGGGAAAAGGGATGGACTTTAAAAAGCAAGGAAAACTGTCCAACAGGGATTTGAATCCCCTCAATTGTTCCCAGTTAGAGGCTCGTTACAATTCAGCAGGGAGAGGTGATTCTGCAGGATATAAATTTACATCCCACTGGATGGTGAGTGACCATAAATACAGCTATTCTTTGCCATGGAAACAGATAGCTCCTGACAGCAGGAAACGCTGTGCCAAGGATTTATAGGGCTGCTGAGCTCCGGGAGGCTCCACAGGGCACAGAACTGTGCCTGGGAGCTGCGGGAGGAGGGTGAGGGGCACAAGGAATTCTGAATTGCTGACCAGGCAGAATTTCTCCGTGCTGGCTCAAGCCCTGACCTGTCCCCAGGATGCAGAGGGAAACTGCAAGAGGGCTGTGAATCGCCCCCAGGATGCAGAGGGAATCTGCAAAGGGCTGGCAATCGAGTCCAGGTTCCCTCCAGTCACTGCCTTAAGCTTGTGCCTCTCCATTTCTCCTCCCTGCCTCACTCCCTCCACATGGCCTGGGAGTGTAAATGCCAGAAAATGGTAAAGAAGGGCAAAGTGAGAGGAAAAGAAGGAAAAGCTCTCGGGAAGAGGTGAGCAGAGCCCAGGTGTGGCATGTGGCAGCTGCAGCACAGCACAGACTGTGACAGGGAGGGAGGGCTCTGCTGAAACCCCCTGCAAGGAAACCCCTCCCAGGGAGCCCCACAGGGAAAATTCCCAGGTTAAACTCGTCGTGCTGTACCTCAGGGATGTGGTGGCTGAGGCAGTAGCAGCGGTGGCAGTGGGGGCAGAGCTGGCCCAGGGTTGTGACAGAGGCTTTGCAGCGGGGGAAGGCGCAGGTCCTGTCAGCCTCCATGGCAGCGGAGATCAGAGCGTCGAAATCTTCTCCTGCTCCGCTCCCCACCGCTGGCTTTCCTGGGAAAGGTGAGCAGACACCTGGATTGGGGACTGGCAACAAACCAACCCACCTACAGTCACAGCCTGGGCTGCCTCTGCTTCCTTCAGTGTGGACTCCCTTAGCTCCTCTTTCTACATTTGGGAGTCTCCCATGTAACCCCTGAGCCTCTTTCCTGGGAAAGGATCCCCAGTGTTCTCCTTCTGACTTAAGGAATGTTCCTGCAGGCATCCAAATCCCTCTCCCCAGATGCTGTAGCCAACCCATGCACAT